GTCAACCAGCTAGCGTCCTTAGCCAACCTCCGAAAACAATCTGCAATGCCAAACGTACAACAAAATCCTGGATTCCATCATCCTCAAATAACACCAACTGCAGGGTATGATCAAATGATTGGTCTTCAAATGCCTGTAGTAGACGTGAATCACCCTGGTATACTAGTGTTGCAAAATCTAGAGGTCACATAGGTATGATATCAGATATATCAGGGTAGGTAGGAGGCTTGTGCTATAAGTCACCAAGAAGAATTATATTGCATGTCTCCAGCTCCAGAGCATCAAGAGAAGGTTATGAATTTGCAGGAAAAACTGAATATTTTAAGTCAGCATTCTACTGAGCATGGCGAATCTCAATGGGTGTTGCAAAGCCCTATTTTTACAACTCCTATGATTGATAGCCCTCAAGTGACTAGAACGACAGGTAGAGGCAAAGGAACTAATAAGCCTACGTACAAAAACAGGTGAAAAGCTCTCTCTCTCTTGTTCAGCAAAAAATTGCCTGTATCAGGAGACTTTGTTACGCCAGGTGCCAGGCTAAACTTGCCTTCCAGTGAAATGTCTAAATTTACAGACTTTGCATTAGAGCAATTGGTCGAAGAAAAAAAGAGAGGCAGAAAACCCAACCAAGAAGAAGGAACCGAAATTAATTAAAGAATTTAAAAAGGAAAGGAAAAAGGCTGAAGAACCAAGAGTCAAACGAAAATACGTCAGAAGGAAAAAATGGAATGACGGATTGGATGAAAACGCTTCAGAAGACTCATTTAACAAATCAATTGACTGCTCGTTTGCTTCAGAAAGGCATTCTTCTGAAAAAGCTGAAGCCAAACAAGACGCAATTGCCGAACCTGAATCTTCAACATTAGACAAACTCAACGAAGACAAAGATGAAAGACAAGGAATGCAGGTGATTCTGATACCAGCGGACTTGCGCGAATCTGGCCACGATACCTCAAAAGATGAATACACTTTTAATAAAGCGCTAGCGAATGACAAAATTTGGGAATTGCCGAAAAGATTCAAAAAAGCTAAAACTGGACGAAAACGTGATCGGCGCAAAACGCACGTTCTAAACGAATCTAATGGTGAAGGTGAAAACCTCATTACAACACCACCGCCTTCACCTCCTGAAGACTATTATTCGAGTAAACGTCGCTCAGCCAGAAACAGACAAAGGAAAAATTATATAGCTGATGTGATGCTAAGATTCTCTGACGATGATAGTCCTCCAACGCCTAGAGCCAGAAAACCGATAGTGCCCGATAAACCAATACTACCTTCTATACCGGTTGCTCCTCTAGTAGCGTCTTCATCTTCAACACCCCAGGAAAATGAATAAGAAGACGTACCTTCGGTAGTTTCCACAGGAGATTCAGTGTTGTCCAATATGTTTTGTAATCGCGAATGACTGAAAAAGACATGGGAGTTGTTGCAGAAGCTAAAGTGAATAAGGAGAAAGATAAAGAAAAACCGAGTGTCAACAACACACAAAAGGAGAAAAATTTTATAATATAAAAATCGTATGGTAAAAAGCTGAGTAGGTACCTACCTGTCTCTAATTGATTAGAACAGCCAATCAGGTAAACAGACTCAATTTTACAATGTTCTATATTCTTTCTCATCAAAATAAAACATGTAACATCCTTATGAAATCCTCAAGACAAAAATACTTAAACCACGGACACGTTTCCTGTCTGGTCCCATTTTGAACTTTACCGTCCGCAAATAAAGTTCATAAGCCGCACGGGAGCACATGTCTTCTGCACTGAGACTAAAAAAGAAATTCGACTTAAAAGGTTAAATGGCAAGAACATCACATATGCAAGGACACCTTGTTTGTTTGTCCCGAAAGGGCACGTTTCTGCGACCCAATTCAATTTCAAGCTTGACGTGAAATAGGGTGAATTTTTTGGATAAACTTGTTTAGCTTTTAGACGGAGGGTGGTTTGATGTTTATTTTTTGTCCAGACGAATAAGCTTTATTAAAAAAGATTTTTTTTTTTGTTGAACTGGCACCCAAATCCAGGCATTTAAATTTCAAAATGTGTGTTTGCGTTTGGCAGGGCTCAGACGGTATAGCGAGGTTTATTTTTTTCGAAGCCCGCAGCTAAATTGAATTAAATTGACGACTTATAAATTCAATAGGCGTTTAGGAAATTCGCCACATTTCCAAACCGAAATTCCAAATTTACCGATAAACCATCAATAACTAAAATCGAGCACGCAAGCTATGGAAAATATTTGTTGATACGAGACTGGACCATTAGTTAACGTCATACTTTCCTCAGGTCCTCATTGTGTTACAAAAACGAATTAATCTAGCAGGATTTACTGGAACGTTTATTTACTTTTGCCCCTGATGGGCAATTTTGTATATTAGGGCAATTAGTTGAGAAATAAAGGAAGATAAACAGTTGGCATCCGGGCGAAATTGTGTTAATTTAGGGAGGCTCTGATTTCCTAAGAGGAGAAGCCGTTTTGTTAATTTTGAGATAATTTTGCAACATTTACGTTTAATTGTATATTATTTCAATTTTCTTTGATTTCATCTTCCTGGAACATGTCCTTCTAGAAAGTTTTAATTCTGATGATGTTTATGTATGATGTCTTTTCTATCTTAATACATTTAATGGATGAAATTTCTTCGCCATTCGTATAGGAAATGAGTGATCAATTTTAAACTTACCAAAATTTGTATGGTCTTGGGACGGTATAATGTCAAAGACCACCCTGATACTGTAACGTGTAAAGTTACTTGTTCCTTTTTTTTTTAAATTTAATTTTATATAACCCTGTTCAATGTTGATAGTCTGGTGATTAACATTAAACATAGAGGGTTCCTGTTACTCATTATGTTAGCAATTACTGAAATATTAAATTTGACGCTAGTACCAACGTTTTCCGTTGAGTGAAAGCGCTGTATGCTCATCTTGTCCATTTCAATTATCTTCCTTTTCGAATTGTGTTGTCGAGCTGCAAAGTCGATCGGCCATCTACTCGAGACAACCGTGCCGTAGGCATTATCGTAACGAAATAAAGTTGCGTAGAGCAATAATCCTTTGATTACCGAAAAAAATTAATTAAAAAGTCTCGTGATTACCATATAATTTAAGTTTGAATTTCAACGCCCCTCGTGGTAAGTTTTTTTTTAATTTCTTTTCAAGTAATAGCTTTTCAAGGAATGCCTTATTACTTAGGGTCTTTCGGAGAGCCGTTTCTCTCAACAACTCCATTCCAAAAAGGCCACATTTTCAATAAAACACCATTTCCGTAAAGTGTGGCAGAGAGCTTTTGGAAAGGATTCCCACCATACAAGAATCAAGACGCTCACAAGTCGATACGTTGCCCCATATTTGACGACAATTCTAGTTCCTTTTCTGCCTGGATTCTGGGCTGGAATCCGCAAGTTCCATGGGCGGTTTCCTTCGTCAAGTGACCGAGGTTGGATGGCTTCCGTGCTCTACCTTATGTTGGAATGAAGGCTTGTATTACGTTTCTCTTATAACTTTTAATACCTTTTATTTATTAAATCAGTTTTATAGTCAATTAACAAACTTAAGATAATTTTTTTGTATGATTTTCATGCAACATTTAAACTCTCTGATTCTTGACACGATGGTGGAGAATTAGCTTTCGATTTATCGAATTTATTATGGATTTGTCTTTGCATAACTTTTAATATTGCCTTATATTTTATCATTTTTATCAATAATAATCAATAAGTAATCTATTAGGCTAATACTCAACAATTTTAAATTCAGAACATGTTGTCCAACCTTGACCTTTGTTCAGGGCCCGGATTCCGAACCCACGATTCGATAGTATCGTCCTTATAAAATAGATAGATGAATTTAAAATTGTTGAGTAATAGCCTTCCGTCAAAAATTAATCAATTTTTAATCCTGGGTTCTACGACTTACATATTTGAGGATTTCTATTATATCTCCAGACCATTTAACGGTTATATAGTCCAACTTTCGATTTCTTTCAGATAAAATAACCGAGCATATTATGGGCCTTTTGTTAATTCATTAACAAAAGGGGTTACACTACGTGCTTCAACAGTAGAACAAATTGCTATGGTGCAAAAATACTGTTCATTCATTCCGCCAACACAAGCTATTCGCTTTTGCCAAATCATTTTATAATCTTTTGTAAGATTCCGTACGAAAGTGCAATAAATCTTTCCCAAATGAAGACGACAAACGCTACAAATTGTGACAAAATACGTTGCGTTTTCAAAAGGACCATTGATACAAATTGGAACCGAATGCAGCTCTAAATTCGCCACCCTAAGTAGAATAAGGGACCGGGGGTGGCGAATTGTATTTTATCGTTCTCGACAAATGTGTGTCGCGATGTGCACTGGGGAATTTAACGAATAAGTAGCACACATTTCCAGTTGGATATAAACAACAGCTGTTATTTAGCGCATCTGGTCTTATTACGCGATACATCATGATGGTTTGAGCGAGAAGCATTATTAGCATGTATGGTGTAGAGAACATTTACATTTGAAATCGTTGTAATGTATTTTGATAGTTGGATGTGCACAAATTTTAATATATAAAACTTTAAACAAAGTATGCTTGCTAAGCAGCAACATTTCATTTTAAATTGAAATTCACTTATATGGGAAGGTGAACAAAATTGACCTCACGAAACAAGCCAGTAAATTAGGATACTGAATACAAAATTTAATAACGCGTAACAGACAAAAGGTTTAACGAGGTAAAATGCCTCGTTTTCGTTAACAAAACAGAAAGTTTTTCCTCGAGACAAGCAAAACGGCTTTGGGTTTTTATGTGTTCGTACAAGAACTTTTTTTGTGTTGGAGTTTTGTCTTAATAGATATCATTAAAACATTAACTTAACAGATATTTTTATTTGATATCCATGATTTTATTTCAATCATTGGCTCACCAACAATCAAATATTGAATATATCTATTGATTACCAGATGAATAATAAATACATTTTTCTATTACAAAAATTCTTACCTTCCACCAAGTTATCCCAGCAGGAGGTCTGGATCCTCTCGATTCGCAAGTAATATTGTACTTCTTTCCCGTACTAAATTGCAGACTATTTCCTACAAGTACGACCTCCAGCGGTCTCAGGTACATATCGATAGCAACACGTACAACTAACGGTGGTTGACGTTTACTGTTGTTAGCTTCACAGCTGTAGACCGCTAAAAGATGCGACCTAAAGGAAAAAATCATCAATTAATATACTATTGTAGTATAGCAAAATTATGATGTGTTTGCCCTTTTCTCAATATAATACTTTTATTATAGTATACATTTGACGCCATACTGGGGCTAATGCCTGTTCGAAATATAATTTTTAGTTCTCTTTTAATTTACCTGATTTACCTTATTGTTAGTTTTGGAAAATAAAAATTTGTCAAGCCTGACTTATAATTTTCCTTTCTCAGAAAGTTTCAGGAAAAACCGACAATAAACTTGATAATCAACAATGCCTCTTCAGGCAAAAAAATATGCGGTACCAACAGGAATATGTACCAACATTTCAGGAAAAAAAACAGAAGTCATGTCTCAAAGTACCATTGAGTGTATTTTATATTCAAAATATCAGAATGTCATTATTCTTGGCTTTTGCATTATGAAATTTTGGTAGATTACTGCTAAAAACCTCAGGAACATATAGAAAAATACGTGACATTAATAGGAATACCAACTTTCTATAAGGAACTTCGAAATTGCAAGTAGAAATCATATGGCAGTCACTGATATGTTCATCACATTAGGAAAATTCACAATTCTGCTATCTTTAGCTTTTCACCTGTAAAACTCTGGTATGTTACAACTGAAAGCTTCATGAATAAATAGAACAATATGCGGTACCAACAGGAATACCAACATTTCAGGAAAAAAAAACATAAGTTATATGGTAAAGTATCACTGAGTGTATTTTATATTCAAAAAATCAGAATGTCAATATTCTTGGCTTTGGCACTATGAAATTTTGGAAGATTACTGCTAGAAGCTTCAGGAATATATATAAAAATACGTGACACCAATAGAAATATCAACTTTCCATAAGGAACTTCGAAATTGCAAGGAAAGTTCATATGGCAGTCACTGATATGTTCTTCACATTTGGAAAATCGACAATTCTGCTATATTCAGCTTTTTCCCTGTAAAACTATGGTATGTTACAATTGAAAGCTTCATGAACAAGTAAGAGAATATGCGGTACCAATAGGAATACCAACATTTCAGGAAAAAAAACAGAAGTCATATGGTAAAGTAGTTATCACTGAGTGTATTTTACATTTAAAAAATCAGAATGTCATTATTCTTGGCTTTTGCATTATGACATTTTGGTAGATTACTGCTAAAAACCTCAGGAATATACAGAAAAATACGTGACACCAATAGGAATACCAACTTTCCATAAGGAACGTCGAAATTGCAAGTTGAAATCATATGGCCATTGATATGTTCATCACATTAGGGAAATTCACAATTCTGCTATCTTCAGCTTTTTCTCTGTAAAACTCTGGTATGTTACAATTGAAAGCTTCATGAACAAATGAAAAAATATGCGGTACCAATAGGAATACCAACATTTCAGGAAAAAAAACAGAAGTCATGTCTCAAAGTACCATTGAGTGTATTTTATATTCAAAATATCAGAATGTCATTATTCTTGGCTTTTGCATTATGAAATTTTGGTAGATTACTGCTAAAAACCTCAGGAACATATAGAAAAATACGTGACATTAATAGGAATACCAACTTTCTATAAGGAACTTCGAAATTGCAAGTAGAAATCATATGGCAGTCACTGATATGTTCATCACATTAGGAAAATTCACAATTCTGCTATCTTTAGCTTTTCACCTGTAAAACTCTGGTATGTTACAACTGAAAGCTTCATGAATAAATAAAACAATATGCGGTACCAACAGGAATACCAACATTTCAGGAAAAAAAAACATAAGTTATATGGTAAAGTATCACTGAGTGTATTTTATATTCAAAAAATCAGAATGTCAATATTCTTGGCTTTGGCACTATGAAATTTTGGAAGATTACTGCTAGAAGCTTCAGGAATATATATAAAAATACGTGACACCAATAATAGAAATATCAACTTTCCATAAGGAACTTCGAAATTGCAAGGAAAGTTCATATGGCAGTCACTGATATGTTCATCACATTTGGAAAATCGACAATTCTGCTATCTTCAGCTTTTTCCCTGTAAAACTATGGTATGTTACAATTGAAAGCTTCATGAACAAATAAGAGAATATGCGGTACCAATAGGAATACCAACATTTCAGGAAAAAAAACAGAAGTCATATGGTAAAGTAGTTATCACTGAGTGTATTTTACATTTAAAAAATCAGAATGTCATTATTCTTGGCTTTTGCATTATGACATTTTGGTAGATTACTGCTAAAAACCTCAGGAATATACAGAAAAATACGTGACACCAATAGGAATACCAACTTTCCATAAGGAACGTCGAAATTGCAAGTTGAAATCATATGGCCATTGATATGTTCATCACATTAGGGAAATTCACAATTCTGCTATCTTCAGCTTTTTCTCTGTAAAACTCTGGTATGTTACAATTGAAAGCTTCATGAACAAATGAAAAAATATGCGGTACCAATAGGAATACCAACATTTAAAAAAAAAAAAAAACAGAAGTCATATGGTAAAGTATCACTTAGTGTATTTTACATTCAAAAAATCAGAATGTCATTATTCTTGACTTTTGCATTATGAAATTTTGGTAGATTACCTACTGCTAAAAGCTTCAGGAATATATAGAAAAATACGTGACACCAATAGAAATATCAACTTTCCATAAGGAACGTCGAAATTGCAAGGATAAATCAGATGGCAGTCACTGATATGTTCATCACATCAGGAAAATTCACAATTCTGCTATCTTTAGCTTTTTCCCTGTAAAACTTTCATATGTTACAATTGAAAGCTTCATGAACAAATAAGAAAATATGCGGTACCAATAGGAATACCAACATTTCAGGAAAAAAAAAATTCAAAATATCAGAATGTCATTATTCTTGGCTCTTGCATTATGAAATTTTGGTAGATTACTGCTAAAAGCTTCAGGAATATATGGGAAAATACGTGACACCAATAGAAATATCAACTTTCCATAAGGAACTTCGAAATTGCAAGGAAAGTTCATATGGCAGTCACTGATATGTTCATCACATTTGGAAAATTCACAATTCTTCTATCTTCAGCTTTTTCCCTGTGAAACTCTGGTATGTCACAATTGAAAGCTTCATGAACAAATAAAAAAATATGCGGTACCAATAGGAATACCAATATTTCAGGAAAAAAAACACAAGTCATATGGTAATGTATCACTGAGTGTATTTTACTTTCAAAAAATCAGAATGTCATTATTCTTGGCTTTTGCATTATGACATTTTGGTAGATTACTGCTAAAAACCTCAGGAATATACAGAAAAATACGTGACACCAATAGGAATACCAACTTTCCATAAGGAACGTCGAAATTGCAAGTTGAAATCATATGGCCATTGATATCTTCAGCTTTTTCTCTGTAAAACTCTGGTATGTTACAATTGAAAGCTTCATGAACAAATGAAAAAATATGCGGTACCAATAGGAATACCAACATTTCAGAAAAAAAAAAACAGAAGTCATATGGTAAAGTATCACTTAGTGTATTTTACATTCAAAAAATCAGAATGTCATTATTCTTGACTTTTGCATTATGAAATTTTGGTAGATTACCTACTGCTAAAAGCTTCAGGAATATATAGAAAAATACGTGACACCAATAGAAATATCAACTTTCCATAGGGAACGTCGAAATTGCAAGGATAAATCAGATGGCAGTCACTGATATGTTCATCACATCAGGAAAATTCACAATTCTGCTATCTTTAGCTTTTTCCCTGTAAAACTTTGATATGTTACAATTGAAAGCTTCATGAACAAATAAGAAAATATGCGGTACCAATAGGAATACCAACATTTCAGGAAAAAAAAAATCAAAATATCAGAATGTCATTATTCTTGGCTCTTGCATTATGAAATTTTGGTAGATTACTGCTAAAAGCTTCAGGAATATATGGGAAAATACGTGACACCAATAGAAATATCAACTTTCCATAAGGAACTTCGAAATTGCAAGGAAAGTTCATATGGCAGTCACTGATATGTTCATCACATTTGGAAAATTCACAATTCTTCTATCTTCAGCTTTTTTCCTGTGAAACTCTGGTATGTCACAATTGAAAGCTTCATGAACAAATAAAAAAATATGCGGTGCCAATAGGAATACCAACATTTCAGGAAAAAAAACACAAGTCATATGGTAATGTATCACTGAGTGTATTTTACTTTCAAAAAATCAGAATGTCATTATTCTTGGCTTTTGCACTATGAAATTTTGCTAGATTACTGCTAAAAGCTTCAGGAATATAAAGAAAAATAGTGATACCAATAGAAATATCAACTTTCCATAAGGAACGTCGAAAATCATATCGCAGTCACTGATATGTTCATCACATTAGGAAAATTCACAATTCTGCTATCTTCAGCTTTTCCACCTAAAACTCTGGTATGTTACAATTGAAAGTTTCATGAATAAATAAAAAAATATGCGGTACCAATAGGAATAACAACATTTCAGGAAAAAAAAAACAGAAGTAATATGGTAAAGTATCACTGAGTGTATTTTACATTCAAAAAATCAGAATGTCATTATTCTTGGCTTTTGCACTAAGAAATTTTTGTAGATTATTGCTTAAGGCTTTAAGAATATATAGAAGAATATGTGACACTAATAAGAATACCAACTTCCCATAAAAAACGTCGACATTGCAGGTAGAAATCATATGGCAGTCATTGATATGTTCATCACATTAGGAAAATTCACAATTCCGATATCTTCAGCTTTTTCTCTATAAAACTCTGGTATGTTACAATTGAAAGTTTCATGAACAAATAAAAAAATATGCGATATCAATAGCAATACCAACATTTCAGGAAAAAAAAAATAGAAGTCTGATGGTAAAGTATCACTAAATGTATTTTACATTCAAAAAATCAGAATGTCATTATTCTTGGCTTTTGCACTATGAAATTTTGGTAGATTACTGCTAAAAGCTTCAGGAATATATAGAAAAATACGTGACACCAATAGAAATATCAACTTTCCATAAGGAACGTCGAAATCAATCAATCAATAGGAAAATCATTATAAGATAGACAAACAATACAAAATATTACCTTGTTAATTTATCTATTTTAAGAATGCTTTGTGATTTGGCACGTTCTTGGAAGTATTGCGTTTCGTCTGTGATCAGTGATTGATTTCTCCACCAAGAAACCTGAAATAATTGCTTGATTGTGGTCGAAGTACTTTGATAAAATTGGTAAAACTGCTTACCTTCGCGAGAGGTTTACCTCCTGAAGCTGTACAAAGAAGTGTTAGACTTGCACCTTCAGCATAAGCCTCTGTCACATCTTTTTTTATAGGTCCTATCCGGTCACTCACTTGGACGTTTGTTGGGGGCACTGGAACAAATTAGAAACATAAGTACCAAAAATCTAATATTTAAAAAAAAAATCTTTTGTAAATGTAAAATCCAATTTAATGATAATTAACTAATTAAGAGTGTTGTTTCGGAGAGTATTTCACTGGAAAATGGAGGAAGTAGGTACGCGTTAATCCAAAACCTGGAAATGTAATCCAATTTTGCCTGGGATTTTTGTTGTTTTCAAGGGAATATCGGCTTTGGTCTATTTTTCTTATTTGTATAGTAATATGAGCTTTTTTCACTTGATTCAAATATTAAATTAGTTATGACCCACTTATTCTCATAGCCTGTTAGCAAAAAAAATGGAAAATCTCAGTTGGCCTCAGGAAGATGAAATAGTATATTACATACCGAGGTGGAAAGTGTTTCATTACTGTCGAGAGATTAGTTAGTTAACTGAGACGCGAAGCGTCGAAGTTAACTATAATCTCGAGACAGGAATGAAACTTCCTACCGAGGTTTGTATACTATTTTATTTACAACAATTACAACCCTCATAATTTCGACTAAATACTAAAAAAAAATTTAAAAATTTGTTGACAAGTTCTGACTCATCTAAAAAAACGTTTGACAAGCAGGACTCGTCTTAAACATTTTAAAAAATGAGAACTTACTTTCCACCCGGGTGGAAAGTGAGCACTTTCCACCCGGGACCACTTTCCACCCGGGTGGAAAGTAAAATTCAAAAAAGTGTCACTTTCAAACTTTTGAAAAGACAGAAATGTCAACATTACGTATGTGGTTGTAAATAATAATCCTTTTAAAAGTTTCAAAATTGTGAAGGGTTGGGATTTTCAAAAGTTTATAGGTTCTTAATTGAAAAAATCCCCTGGACTAATATTTTTTTGAGGTACCTACTTTGTTCTAAATTACTTTTTTGAAGACGACGATATCGAGTTTATAAACCCAAGACCAATAAAAAGAAAAGTTTTTCGAACTTTTTTAAAGTTAATTTCAAACTTCAATGAGAGTTCAATGGTGACCTTTGAGTTTGTTGAAAAGTATAGAGAGAAGATTAAAATTGTAATAAAAAAATGAATTCGTTGGATACATTAATTATCGTGAATAAAAATTAAACATTTTCGAGCGAAACAATAAAAGTCGTCCATTATTCTTTTCCTTCGGGAACGGGAAAAAGCCTGCTAATTAACTTATTTCAAAACGTTTTTATTAATTAAAATTCCCATGAAAATTCCAATTTGAATACACGTGGGAGATATTAAAGAGATTTTCACAGAAAAAAAATTCTAAGTTAAATGTGTATCTACTTGAAATTTACTTTTTGAATACAAAAAAAATCTTGTTAATTTTGCAAATTGGTAATTTTGAATGGGATGTGAATATTCAAAGTGATAACGTTTCCCATTCATTTGGTTACTTATAAAGAAAATATACCTTAATTGGGAGTAAGTACCTACACGGTAGGTATATTTTAGGTGAAATTGTATCTCATCGGGCACTCATGTCGCAAAAATTTATAATCCTTTTCATTCCCTTCTCATAAGGAGAATTCGCGGGTCAGTTGAATAAATGTTATTTTGGTTTTGAGAGTTCAATTTATACAAATATTAATTTTTTTAATTTATGTATTTTTGTTGTGCTAGGATATTATTTAGAGCGTGCATTAAGGCCCTGTTGAATCTACTAACACTTTTCTACCCATCAGTTTAGAGATAATGGCTCAAAATAACAACTATAGCTGAGTAGCCTCCCGTAGGGGACCTCAGTACCTTCTGGCAGACTCGCTAACCAACCAAAAAGTCTTCAGTATGGAATATAGGTAGTGTTGATTGAATGTAGTGTGAAATTAAAATTTTAGCATAAGGACAGGGACGGTACCTAATTTAAACTATTATTGATTATTGAATTACAATTACAAATTATTGACTCACAATTATTATTAAAATGTTACAGTATGTTTTGATTTTTGAGGAATGTAGATCGAGAGTTTTTCTGCCGTGGTCTCTCCCCTCGTGAGTTCCAGGTTGAGAATGGTCCGATTTTTCGACAACGTAGGTCCTATTTGATTCTCATTACGTTTTTCAGAAGATTTGTTAAAAGAAGGGGTATGTTATACTACAATATTATTAAGATTTTTGTAATGTTGAATATTTAAATATGATCTGCTGTACACTTTTGTTCGGTACGTTGGTTCTGATTTTTTTACTTGTTTTTTTTTTTTTTTTTGTCAGTAGACAGTTGCCGTAACGCCAATAATATTAGTTGTTGTTTTTAATATTTTATATATTAGTTCTTCTACAATTAAAAGCGACCCAAGTTTACATAAAGGGGCATTTTATTTTGTACTCTAATAATAACAGGTAACGGTCCCAGTCGCGCTTGCCCGGAAAGTGTAAGTCGTGTGCGTGTGGAATAGAAACGCGTGTAAAACGTTTTGGATTTGTTCCTTGGAAAACTATTGTGAAAAGCTGAGAGGGTCTGTACTAGGGTGTGTCCCTGCAACGAGTGCAACACGAAAACTGTGCCCGGATTCCGAAGCCAGGATTCGATATTATCGTCTATCTATATTTATATAGACGATACTATCGAATCGTGGGTTCGGAATCCGGGCCGGCGTAAACGTTTTTCGTTTATTGTGAGTTCTACATAGTTGAGACATTACTGACTGATAAAGTTGACGTTTCCAGCGTCAATAAGTTTGATAGACCAACTTTAGGCAATGGTAATTTCAAATGAAATGTGCGTTGAAGGGTAAAGGTTTTTATGGAGTAATTGATGGCACTCTTCTCAGGTCTAACAACTCCCAAACTGATAAGCCTACAACATGGTGCAAGTAAGATACTCAAGCTATGTTTGTACTAACCGCAGTCATGCACGTTGATCAAATACCATTGATAGAAAGTTGTGAAAATGTCAATCTTTGAACTGAAGTCAGAGTCAAATGAGATGATACTTCACGAGCATTTTCACCAATATACTATGACTACAAATGATACTATAGCACAGCATATCTCGAAGATACATGCGGAACAAATACAAGATGCAGGTGACGACAAAGATTGATAATTCAAAGGCTCGACTTTTGGATGAAGAGAGTAACATCCAACTACGAGGAAACCGAACAAAAAAGAAAAAGCAAGAAAATGAGGTGCCGAGAGGTCCTTTATGTTATAATTGTAGAAGGATAGGCCATATTTGGAAATACTGCAAAGAAAAGAGAAGCAAGCAAGATGAAAACCGCAGAAAACGAGAAAATCTCAAAAATGACAAAACCGACAAAGCGTTCATTGTTGAAGTTGAAGCAAACAGTGTTATTTTTGAGAATGAAACATGGATCATGGACAGTGGTGCCTCTGCTCATATAACATATTATAGACTAGACTTCTTTCAAATTTTAAAATCTGTTTTTTTTTAAAGATAAAAGTCAAAATGACATTATGTTGGCAATACAATGTAAAATTGTCAGTGCTTTCAATTTTTTTGTGTAGAAAAGGCTTGTGTTGCCAACATAGTTACTAAATTTTTGACTTGGGGAATTATCTTTAAAAAAAAAACAGACTTTAGATGGTAGTAACTTTAAGTCAAAAGTGACACTTGAAAACGACCAACACCTGTCTGTAGAAGGAAAAGGTACGATAAAAATACAAAAGCTGATTCTAATGATAAGTGGCATGGTTCAAATTAATAATGTATTATACATACCACAGCTTCGTAAGACTCTTTGTTTCCTGAGGGTGTATTTACAGATAGGAAAATGGAAGTTGCTGAATTTGAAAAAGAGGCAAAGGTTTTTGAAGTTTCGAACAACTGTGAAAGACTCGAACAATACCTATAAAATCCTGTTCAGAAGCATGATTTGCACTGCAAATTTAACAGTTTCTGACAATTCGAAATTATGGCATGAACGCTCTGGCCATGTTAATGTGAAACATTTCAAGGAAATGGTCAAGAAGGAGTCTTGCCTTGGGTAAGCAGCATAAACTGCCGTTTAAGAAAAATCAAGAACATGATTGTGTATCGGTGAGAGAATCTACAGTGATGTGTGCGGGCCTATTGCAACTCCTTCGGAACGGCGAATGAGATACTTTGTAACTTTCAAAGATGAAAAGAGTGGTTATCGTGTTGAATACTTTATTAAGCACAATTCGGACGTTTATGATATATGAAACATTTGGGGTGTGGGATCTTTGAATGACTTGGAAATCAGGTACACGATGGAGTTTAACTTCTTTATGATCAAATCATTTTGTTCAGCAACACAGATTACCTCGGATAGACCCAATCAAGTATTGCATCCTGGGGTTGTTTTTGCCCAGGTGGAGAATTGAACACTAGTCATTCAGTGCCAGGTGGTTGTCCATTGTTTGGTGGCATGTATATCCCCCTGAAGGCCTCTATTCTGCGTTACAGAATTACTATAACAACAGGTATCATCCGCAAATGACGACATCTGACTCCTCAATCGTTTTGACAGGTCACTAATATTTACAAGGAAGAGAGAGGGCCAAGGACTGAGCCTTGCGAGACATTACTGAAAACTTTACAGGAATTTGACTTCATGGACCCTATCCTGACACAGAAATGTCGATCCTGCAGAAAATCTTGGATTTTAGAGTTTCATGCAGAAATTAAAACAAAATTTGGACATTCGGTGAAAGATTTGTATACTGATGGTGGTAACGAGTATCTCAACAATGAGTTCAAATGTTAAGCACTTAAGCAGAGAAGGTATAGAACATGAGGTGATCACGTTGTATACCCCTTAACAAAACGGTTGCGGAAAAAGAGATAATTGGACAATTGTTGAAAGTGCACGGTTGTCGGTCAGGTGCTCCAAAATAATTGTGGGCTGAGCTATTTACGTAAAGTTCATTTTATTCATCGATTATGTCATATCTTGGAAAAAAAGGTTTGTCGTAGATTGATTCATATAATTCAATAGCGTTCAGACTTTGTATTGTATTAATGACTTCGAGTTTAAAAACCGACGAACATTTCTGACGTCAATAATTTGTT